CAAAGACAAGGGAAGGAATGTGAAAAGGTATAAAGCAGAGATAATGCGAAAGATCAGATAAAAAAGTTTTAAGACACGTCATAACGACATTCATTTTTATATTGTAATAATAATAATTATATTCGCAACAGCGAATAAGCCTGATATTGTGACATTGCACCGATCACAGGTAAAGATATTTCGTCGATGTTTTGTAGAAAGGGCGAAAGCGCCATTTCGAAAAATTTTTCATGGGAGCATGTTTTAGTTTTTCACGACGTTTTAAAATAATTAAGTCCTGTTTTAAAACTTAAACTTAATTAAAACCATATTCAATATAAGTCAATATATTAATACAGTAGTACAGTACCTAAAACATGCTCCCCTCAAAAAATTTTTGAAATGGCGCTTTCGCCCTTTCTACAAAACACCGACGAAATATCCTTTACCTGTGATCGGTCGTGAAACGTCGGAAGTATTTCGATCTGGCGCATGAGATCACCGACATGTGGGACATGCATTCACTGCAATAATTAGGTAAGTACGTACTATTCGCCGGTTCTTGCACCTGAGTCCCTGACCCCGGCCGACTGTGCCATTTTGCCGGTAAATACCGCCTCTTCCATTTAAATATTCCAAATTAATCTTTTAGGTTATAGGAGAGGCGGTGTCTAAAATATATATGCAAAACCGGGACCTCTCAACTTATGTCTCTAGGCGACGAGCGCTATGGCAGTGCCTCACAGATCCTTACAATTTACGAAAGCTTCGAGTGGGACTGCAACTGTTATGGCGTGTTAAGATTGTCGCTTACCACCTAAAATCTATTTATAGGTAATAATAATGTGCCAGACAATAGATAGAGATATCCATGTACAGAATTCACTCCGAGACACAACCCCGAACACACAGACTAGAACCAATTTAGAGAACTTAAATTTCGTCCCGCACCGGGAATCGACACCGGGACCACCTGGTCCAGCGCCCACAGTGCAAACCGTTAGGCCACCGAGGTCGCCAAAAAAAATTTATTTATTTACACAACTACAAATTTTACTTAGACCAATCTTTATTCGATCGATTTATTTTTCCTAATTCGATCACTTTTTAAAGTTCCTTTCCATTGAAACCAAACTACCAATACAATACAATACAATACAATACAATACAATACAATACAAAATGTTTTATTTCTCTCAAAAGGGCCTACTAGTAGTTACATTTCAAGTAAAATAAAATTACAAGTTCCTTGGTGTACCTTAGTGAGCGTTTGAGTGCCTATTCGAGTATAGTAAGTAGTTTTTCAGTGGACTCATACAGTCGTGAGTGATCAGTCAGTTAGAAACATTTTTTTTTACATTCAGTTCTGCACTAATAAAGTACTCCTTAATCCAAGGCTAGTTTTAATAACATTTAAGTTTGCAAATAGCTACGTACTATTTACAAACTCTGACTTTGTTTACTTTACGAATCACGACAAGTTGAGTAAATTGCATTGTTTTTGAAATGGACCATAACCCATTGCGTAATGCGAAATGACGTTTGGTATGACGCGTTTTCTCTGTTCAGATGAACTAAGTAAATAGATAACGTTATCATACACTCAGGTACTTGTTACTGAAAAATATTGAACGGCTCATATACATGTGTTACTCAATAACGCCTGTCTGGTTTCGTATAAGGAACAAATTATGTATTCCTTCCTTCGTAGTATAACTTAAATCTAGGGTGGTGATTGAATAGACAATGGAGCGTTCAAGACCATTCGATAGACAATAGTTGCACATTAATATAAAAGGAATTGCAGTTCTTAGAACGTATAATAATTATGTAGCATGTATATGCAATAGAGATCCTAGTGAAAGAGTCCGTCCAGGGACTGCCACCTTACCTATTTCTGCCACGGAGCATTACTGCTTACCGATACTACTATCGGCATTACTGTGTTTAATACAAAGAGATTTGTAGCGAATCGCTACAAATCTCTTTGTATTTATTTTACAATATAGTCTTCTTTAAGTTTTAGTTTTATATTTAAATTCTAAATTTAAATGTGTTTGTTTTTGGTGCCTTTTTCTTGACTTTAACTAGCGTTTGCTGTTTTGCTTTGATAGCGACAACGTGTTTTCTAGTAAATTTTTAATAAACTGTAAGTACATTCTCTTGGCCTTGCTCACTCGTTGTTAGCACCCAACCTTTAACCCATTGATATAGTCCGCTACACCGGTTTTGAAGGGTAAGGGTGCTGGTGAAATTACAGACACATTGACAGAGACTTGTCAACTTATGGCTCAGGGTGACCACAGTGGAAGTGTCCGTCGGATCTTTGTGGTTTAAAGCTCTGAGTGGCACTGCAACTGTTATGGACAGGCGTGTCGCCTGCCACCAGGCCCACGACTCAATCTCTGCTTGCTCCGGTGGGAGACAAACTATGTATGTAGTGATTTCCACTATATTTGGTTTTATTTTTTTAGTCGACAAATTATACATAAATACTGATAAATTATCTTTAGATTACGATAACTTTTTATTTTATACAAAATTACAGAGATCGAAGTAATATAAAGTACATTTACCTAAAATTGAATACATATAGAGTATATAATAAATACCTCCCCTTTAAATATATATTTTTACTTACAATACATTACCGTAGTAAAGAAATTGCTAGTAACACAAAAAATATAGAGCAACATACAATACAATAGTTCCGGGACTCCGGGTATTATTCACTCTACGTGTATTACTTCCTGGAAGTTAAAATCCAAACTTTTCTGTTATATCTAGTACATAATTATGTAATATTTACATTCTTCATTGTGTATAGATATATTGTACACACAGCGACGTAACGTCATCGCCCAGCGATATATGGTATGTATGTGCTTTGATCATATTCGGCAGTTACAGAACAAGATTGAAATGGTCACGGGCGCGATAGCTAGCTGTATCGAAACAAGGGCGGTGCGCATAATAAAGACGCGCGAAACAACTAAGCCTACTACTACTAAGCAGAGTCATAATACTTCTTCTAGTATGACACAATCATGGGGTTAGATAATTTTGAGGTTCGTTCATTTTATTATATCATGCCACACCCAAATTGTCAAAGTGTAAAGAGCGTTGAAAATGTTTCAGATTAGATAACGCTCCTCTCGGATTAGAGACCTTAAGAAGATAGTCCACCCTAGGCCGCGTGGGCGCGATGGGTGTTTGATAATATTGTTGATATCTCTTTCGCCTTGATGCAAACGCGAGATGCCTGTGCGAGATAGGATTCTTTTGTAAACATTTCCGCGCGTAATTTTTATAATTAACAACAGTTTGACGTTCATTAATAAACGTAATGGAATATTACTTTTTAGTATAAGGAATTCATTATCCAATATAATAATGAGTTCAGGATGCTGTTAGGGCTGCGCCCTCAACAATGAAGCACATACGTCATACAAGCTTCCTAATCCATAATAAGAAAGCGGAAACGTACCTACTAACATAGTTCATAAGTTCGTTACTAATGAGATATGGATTCAGGTCCGAAATAAATGCTTCTTTTTGGCGAGCCGTGGCCTCTTGAAAACATTATTTTGAAAATTAAAATAAAATCGCGTTTTTAGAAGCACTCGTAATCTATTCTCCTAAAATTGTGCGGCTACAACAGTTTTAATTTGTAATTGAGCATGTCTTGGTACCTTTTTAGTAAATTACGTCTGCTGTTCTGTGCCTTATGTATACTATTGCCAGGTCCATTGAAAATCAGCGTCATAACACATTTAGTGAAACGACAATAAACTGAGCAGATGAAGGATTCCGTAATAGCACAGCGCACACTTTATTATTCCTATTTTGTGACTTAATTTATTTTAATTAATTAGTCGAATTATTTATTAAGAGTTGTCTAATTGTACTGTATCGTATTGTGCGTTTTAAATCATATAATATGATGTGTGTGTACTGTGGTGCAATTTATTAACGGAATAAAAAAAAATTCATTCTTAGTTCGTTTTCATTTCATTACAGAGATTTATTTATTTAAATGATGATAAAAATTCAATCAGAACTTTTTTACAGGCGTAATACAAACTGTCAACTAAACAAATCCGGATTAGGTACCTTAGCACCTTCCGTATTCATGTATCGCATATGCATTTCGTGGAACAGAGGCGGTCGGAGCGACGCCGCGGTACAATTTATAATGCATGGTTTGATTGTGTACGGTTGCGTCCGACATTATGATCAATATCCAATCAATACTCAATACATGAGGTGGTATTGGGGCGTATTTGCAATCATAAACAGAATTACAGGACTCGTGTATATTATCAACCAGTTTTAATGTTGGAGGTACGAAATTATTACTCGTAGAAATAGAGACGATTCTCTCTTACATACATAAATAATACGTGCTATGAAATCACACAAGACGATGTCGCAGTTCAATTTAAGCCCACATCTAACAAACCACGTTATTACACGGAATATTAGCCGAGTGTATACCAAACACCATAGCAAGGGCGTTCTGCTTGTGTAAACGATATACCGCGTCGATTACGCGCCGGTATACGCTATAAATAATAGTCGGTCGTAAAAAAAATATCCTGAATGCACCGCAACCTCCAGCTAAGTGCTCCGCCTCCGCTTGCCGTGATTATTTAACATTTTTATAAATATTGATTTAGAATTGTATGGCAAGGAATCGAAAAATTGACATATGATTGAAGCTGATTTAACAAGGATGCTTAAGTTAAAAGGTGCAGTGGTGTCTTTTTATAAGCTACAAAGAGCGGTCAATACAATAGCGACTAAATGAATCGTTTCACACGAATGCTTTTAGCGCCGCAGTTAGTGCTATCGTGTGAAAGGTTTCGAGGGATTCCGTAAAATTAGAGGCGCGTGCAACGTTAAAAAATCATTCATAAACTAATCGGCACGTATTTGTTTTTTGTCCATTTCGTTTCCTCCTATATAATATATAACATGTACATAATATAATGATATGGGAATTATTATTATGAATATACCTCTCGGTCCTTATTGCCGTAGGTGATGCCCAAATTGGGCATGGCACGCAAGATGGCGACGAGAGACTGAATCGTGTTGCTGTACACCACCGGCCGGTACTGTTTGAAGTCTTCATTCGTGAAGCCACTTTCGTGGATAATTCTGCGGACAACATACGTTAACTCAATGAAAGCAAATATCAAGTCATAAAAGTCGTTAAAACCAAAAACAAAGATCTGAAACAAGCATATAGAAAAATTTGTAAGGTCTGCTGGTCCAATCCGTGGCTCTGTTGGGAGAGCGTCAGCTACGGTATGGTGAAGGCGCTGGTTCGAGTCCAGACGGATCAAATCAATTTTTCTTTTGTATTCGATCGATTTGTATTACATTTATGACGAATTAGTGGAGTAATTTCACAAAAATTAATTGAATATCATGGTAGAAACACATCGTGATATTCAATAAATTTTATATTACAAAAAAAATAATTTTTATGATACATATTTTTAAGGTAGGCTAATAAATTACATAATTAATGAAAATTATTCGATCATTTCACTACCTAAAGAGAAGGGACCTTAAGATTTCAAAAAACGTGATAACACTTCGCTGACGGTTTATCGACAATGTGGCATAATAGCTGGCACACTAAAGCACATAAGTCAAAAAAATGCTTCATTTTTTAAAATATAATTATAGTTTTTTGTGTTGTTTATAATGTTGGAAGATGTAAAGAGAATGATAAATTTGAAAAAGACGCCACTAGAATTTAAGTTACAAATTAGAGAAGTAACAAATGAATTTGACTTATGTGGTTTAGTCCGCCATTATAGCTATTTCTTCTTAAAGTGCCTTTGCACTATTGGAGATTGGGCGTCAATATGGCAAATTTATCCCTATCCATGGCTAAATGAAACAGTTGTTCTGCGCTCGTGACTTCGGTGCACTCCCATTTGTTGCTAATCACACATTATAAAAATTATTTATTGAGATTTTTTGTAAAATAATCACGATCTTTGCATTCATAATCATAACTCCGCTAGTTTTAAATGATTATGAATATAAAGATCGAACACACTACAAAATTTTCGTCGACCAGGTGGGACTTGACCTAACGGCGACGAATGCCGAAAAAAGTCAGTACAAAGATCTAGAAGATCTATAACAAAAACTTATAGGACAATTTCGACTACTCGGTAACTAGACCCGTGACTCAGATGGTTACAGCAACGCTACGGTACGTCTATACGTGGGTTCAAATCCACCGGGTCGACGAAAATTTTTCTGTGTATTCGATGTTTGTATTTCTAATCATTATAAAAGTTAATATTTTATCAAGAATGTAATTAGGTCAGTAGATTATATATTTGTTAGTAGACTTCGACCGAAATACGAAAACGTCCGGTCGAAAGTATCTATCTGCGTCGCTAGAACTCTGTCCGACTTTTAAAGCTGAAAGCTGACCAAAGGATTAACTCATTGCAAAATAGTGTTAAAAATATACCAATGTATTTGAATAAAAATATGCGATACAGATAAATTGGACCAAGAGGAAGAGGCTCAATGTTGAGTATAAGCGAAACTTGTTATATTTATAAAATGAGAGAGTTACAGCATAATCTTTCATGTCAAAGGAATCTAAAAATATCGACTCGTCATGGCATTTAAAGGTCAAAGGTCTAAAATTCCTGTCTCCATTTCCCAGACATGAACATTTGAAGACGACGCGGAGTCAGGGGTTACTGAAACCTGATTGAATGGACACACAATTTTTTTGCTAAAATAAAATGCAGACTTCTCTGAAGTGCGTAAAGATTATTTACTACGGAAAAACTTCTATTTGAGGGTAATTAACTTCAATGAGTATTTATTGAAGTAGATATATCTTTTAACAGAATCTTGTAATTGGCAACAGAATTGTAAACAGATTGTAAACAGATTGTAAAAATTATAACTAATACACACTTTCAAGCCCATGGCAAGCATTATACGTAAGATACCTGTAGGGCTAGTACAATAACGCGGGACTTGCGCGAGAGCGTCATAAACCGCGAGATCTCTATGCGAGAATAGCAGTATGTCGTTCTCGCGCTAGTCGTGCCCTATCGTGCTGTAACAGTAATAGGCATTTACTATGTTATGACCTATATCGTAAGACATAGATTTAAATGTTGCTACATTCCCATCGCCCAATAGAAATACATAATTAACGTATCTAAATAAGTGTAATAACAATTCAAGTACAATTACTCATCGACCACCAGTAATGAATCATTGAGTTGTAAGCTACTCATTCTAAGGTTTCGATCCATGACGTGTCCTACTGAGAATCGCAACCATGTAAAAAATAAACACGCAGGGACTTGCTTTTCATACAATCTGTAGGTTTTTTTTTTACCAAAATATATATTTTGTGTTTAAAAACTTGGTTTACTGATATAATGCCTAATGCAGCTATATGGGAAAAAATGTCTCATAATATTAAAATACAATCAACATATATGCTGAAGCCGAATATACCTAAATATAAATAAACAAATTCATAATATAATTTCATGATATACTAAAACGAAACTTTCTAAATCAAGAGGCTATTAAAACAGTAAAACAGAAAATGGCTTGAATGAAAATTATTATAATTTACATTTGACATCACTGTACCTATTTATTTACGATTTTCACACAACAACAATGCTTCATGTTTCCCAGACAAATTGTGAGAAACGCCAGATGCGAGTGCAATAAAAACATATGATAGACTTCCATTAGCATTTGTACATTCGACATGAATTTAAATTGAAATTGGAGAGATATACGTACACTTATTTTCTTCGTAAGGTGTAACTTGTTTCTCTAGAAATATAAGTAAGTAAATAAATAAAGTGTTAATTATTGTAAAGTGGATAGTGACAAATTAATTCTGCATAAATTATATGTGTGGAAATACTAATTGCCAAAACATGCCTTGCCTAATACCGAGGGCACTATTTAGGAAGGCAATAAAAATGGAAATTCCACCACCTCCCATATTTCATTGCTTACAGTCTACGTATGTCATAAAAAACGTCATATATTAAAACTTAGTGATCCTGTATATCAAACTGGCAACACTAACACGCTATTTCAACTACAACCTTGGGAATATAGCTGCTATAACGGCCTGCCCGTTTAGCATGCGGAAAAATGCGGTCCTTCGAGACCACGACAATGGACATGACGTCACAACAGTGTTAGTAGCGCAGCGCAGCCACTGCGGCATGTGACCCTTCTTCAAATCGTTCACAACACCAAAACACTCTGAGAATACGAACTAGAGATGCAACGAATAGTGATTTGGCCGAATACCGAATACCGAATATTCGGCGGCGCTTTCAGCCGAATACCGAATATTCGGCCGCCGAATATTCGGCGGGTGATCCAGTATAATTGACGTCGACGCTAACAAGTTAGGACACGTTTTGATGCGGTACGTGTTAGTGTTTACAGTGAGAGACTATTCTCAGAAGCAGGTATTGTATATGAAGAAAAGCGCAATCGTCTCTTACCAACAAATGCCGAAAAACTTGTCTTTATTCACCACAATTTGCCTTTAATTAATTTTAAATATTAAAAATACTGATGTTGTATTCTTGTTTTCGCAATTAATGATTGTTGGATAATTAAATGTTTCGATTAAATTGTTTTTTTTTATTCCCTTTTATAAGATATTTGCTACTTTTTAAGTATTCGGTATTCGGCCGAATACTACTTACTATTCGGCCGAATACCGAATACTGAAAAAACTGGCCGAATAGGCCGAATACCGAATAGTTGCCGAATATTCGTTGCATCTCTAATACGAACAATGACCACGTTTGCATACCCAAAGAACATCTCACAAGATATTTTGAAAACATTTCACTTGTTCGTGACTTGTTTGAAGATTCGAGGCGTTAAAAGAACTTAATTTTCTTCATGTCTCTCAGATATGAAAAGTTCGGCGAACTGGATTGCGCAAGTCATTTGGAATGGAGAACGTACCCCTGAGTCACGCTAGAACATTTTGTCATTTAGTTTAAATGCTTTGCGTTCTTCACTTTTAGTCGCACTGAATTATTGTTAATGCAAGGTACACCTTTGTGTACCCTTTGTTCGTGCTGGGGTTGACAGCTGACTTGAAGCGTTGAGGTAAAATTAAATTGTAGAAAATACAAAATGGTTTCTAAACGTTTTCAATTAACGACATTGACGTTGAACAACTTGAGTGAAACAGTAAAACGAAAGTGTTCTTATTGAAATAGAACTTTTAATAAGACAGAAAACAATGGATTTCTCGCTATATGTAAGAGTGCATGAACTTATGAAGGTTGACGGAATGACAGAAAGAATAATGATTCATAGAAGCCTATATCTAAAAGGAAAATGTGCTATAACACTTATATTGTGATTCCATGTACTTACAAACACATAGTAAAGGTTCTGGCTATGTAAGTTTGGGTACAGTTGATGCCCCTATATATGTATACATATACCTGACCACCCAGCCGACCTTTTGGCTCTGAGTGCCTTTTTACACATTCAATAGAAGTGTAAAGGAATACCAGCTTTGTAGGTAGTTGAAATTTGTGATCATGTAATGTAATTAAAGATCAAATTAGCTTAAAATGTTTCATAGAACGTCATTCAATACTAATGCAACAAGGAAGTCATATCAAAATTAATTTTACAGCGCACAGGTTAAGTTAAAGGTTGTTTGTTTAATACTTTTCTTCACACTTACTCAGGACCAAATGGTCGGTTAGGTGCTGCGGTATCTTAGGGCATCGATTGTACACAAGAATCAATGAATTTTGAGAAACTTCGAGTTACAACGCTGATAACCTTGAATTTCTATTTTGTTTTAAGTTACAACATTTTTAGAAAATCGCAAACAACATGGACGATTCGTCCTCACAAACATCGCCGTTAGGCCACAGTTTTTGCCAGTCATGATCACATAGTTACATAATTCGTTTGCCTTTATTAACCTCTCAAAGAAAAAGCAAATCTAACCAGTCCACTGCGTCTATAATTACATCATATTATTGCCACGTATCCGGGATCGATATGACATACACACAGGAGTATGTCAAAAGTGATGTTTATCCTTTATTTGGTAGACCAGTCCGTGGTGTCACGATTAT